GTGGCGCGCGCCGCTTCCTCTCCAGGCCCGGGTGCTGCGGCTCCGCAGCCGGGGCGCCTGGGCCCGGGGTGAGGGTGGGGGTGCCCTCCGCGGGAAGGCGTGGAAGGGGAGCTACCGCGTGCGGGGGCGCAGGCGCTCCTGCCCCTGCCGCCGGGGACACACGCTGCCAGCCGCTCGGCAGAAGCAATCGCGCCTCATCCCAGCAGAGCCCTAGAGCCTCACACTTGCAGGCTTTGAGCTACAGAGTGCCTCGGAGATCACCACAACCCCCTCATTTTACAGTTGAAGAAGTTACATCTCAGACAGCTTGAGAGGCTTGCTCCGAGTCAGCTCAGGTCTCCACGCTCCCTGGCAGTCTTTTCCCGTCTCCTCCACGTGTCCCTCAGAGTGACAGGCATGGGGAGGAGGGCAGGGGCGTCGTCCTGATGCACAGGGTGGTTGCGGAGGCCAAGTCCTCAGCAGCAGGGCCCGTGTGCCCCCAGAGGACCCCGTCCGCCAGCAGGTGGGTGCACGGGCAGCCTGGAGTGCGTGCGGGAGGCTGTGTGGCCCAGGGTGCCGCAGTGAGGTCATGCTGAGCTGGGAGATGACAAGGTGTCAAGGGAGAGGGCACAGGAGGACAGAGGTAGAGGTGGGAAAGGAGGAGAGACGGGGAGGAAGGTGGGCACCCCCAGCGCTAGGAGGAGGCAGGGCGTTGTCATTACATGGTAGGGGAGCCAGCTGTGCGGGTGCACGCCTGTAATCTCAGCTACTCAGGAGGCTGAGGCAGGAGGGTCACAAGTACAAGGCCAACTTGGACAACTTGGCAAGACCTTGTCTCAAAGTCTGTAGCTCAGTGGTGGCGCTCCCCTGGCTCCGTCTTCAGTGAGAGGGGGTGGGGTGGCAGTGGGGGATGAGGATGTGAGAGGACGGCTGGGGGCAGGCTGGCCTTCCTGGCTTCCCTCTTCTCTGTGCTTTTCCCTCACAACTTCCCCCCACACCACCCCCAGCCTTGGCTCGGAGAGCCAGTGGACACCAGGGACGGGGGAGGCTTCGGGGCTGGCCGCGTGGATGAACGCTCATTATCAGAACAGCTCCGTGGAGGGCAAGGGAGAGGCCAGCATGACGTGGTGGCCTGGGTTCTCGATGCTGCTGCTTCGCGCAGGTCCTGGCCGGTAGCTCTCCAGGTTTCCGGGGCTGGGGGTCATGTGTCTGCCTTCTGCCTTCTGGGGGGAAGTGGTCTCTCTGCTGGTGGAAGCTTGGGTGGGGGGATTTTTTTTTTTTTTTTTTTTTTTTCCCTCCGGTACCGGGAACCGAACTCACGACCTTGCACTTGCCAGGCAGGCGCTTTTGCCGCTGAGCTAAATCCCCAGCCCTGGGTGGGGGGATTTTGAGAGCGATGCCTTGCAGGGCCCAGAGGGAGGATGGGCGGGAAGGGAAAGAGCCTGAGGCTTGGCCTCTAACCCAGCACGTCTCCAAGGTCAGCAAAGAAACTGCACTGACAGCAAGCGGGGGAGGCTGGGGAGGGCAGGGGTGGAGAGGCCGCTTGTAGGTGGAGGCCGGCCTTGCCTCTGGAAGGCTCCTCAGCGCGGAATCCCGAAGGATGGAAGAGCGGGCATGGCGTTCTATTCGCTCACTCTCAGGCCCCGCTGTGTGGCATTGTGACTGGGTCCCTGGGTTAGGGACTGATTTAGCAATAAGCAGCCTCCACCTTACTGAGAAATCATAAAACCAAAGGCCAAATGGCTTTGTGAGATAATCTAATCGTGCTCATCGGCGCAAACGGATAGCTAGGACTAGTTGGAAGAGTCATTCTGCATCTCACTCAAGGCCCCATTTTATTAGAATGGCTTGTTGACTTGCACAGCTTCTCAGCTGTACCCGTGTTCCAGGAGGGCAGACGTGTAATCTGACTTACTTTCTGCAGTCTTCCCAGAGTTTCGCATAGTGCCTAGGACGAAGAAGATCCTCAATCAAGGAAGTGAGAATGGCACTGGGTTATTTATTCTCAAAATAAAATAAAGGGGCTGGGGATTTAGCTCAGTGGCATAAGTGCCTGCCTGGCAAGTGCAAGGTTGTGAGTTTGATCCCCGGTACTGCAAAAAAAAATTTTTAAAAATAAAAAATAAAAAGTGCTGGGGATGTAGCTCAGTGCAAGGCCCAGAGTTCCATCCCTAGTACAATAAATAAATTAAATAAATAGATAAATAAATAAGCAGGAATGTGAAAATGTAACAGGAAGGCCAAAATTCATATTTATACTCCTGGTAGTAAGTTCACCACCACCTGCACGAATAATATTTGAAGAGCAAAACCTCACTAATTTGGAATTTGCAGTAATACAGACACTGTAACCTTGATCCCAATGAGTAAAAGCTAAAAATAACTTCTCTCTGTTTTTAGAGTCTTACTCCTGAAGGAAAAGAAAAATAGTAAGAAAAACATACCTAGAGGAACCCTTCTCCCCTGTTGGTGGGAATGTAGACTGGTACAACCATTGTGGAAATCAGTGTAGAGATTCCTCCAAAAACTAGGATTGGAGGTCCCATTTGACCCAGCTATTTTCCTTCTGGGTATCTTCCCAGAAGAACTAAAAATATCATATCGCAGCGATATATGTGGGCCCCTGTTTACAGCGGCACAATTTATTTATTTATTTATTTATTTATTTATTTTTGGTTTTTCTCCGGTACCGGGAGCCGAACTCATGACCTTGCGCTTGCCAGGCAGGTGCTTTTGCCACTGAGCTAAATCCCCAGCCCCTAACGGCACAATTTATAATAGCTGGATCTTGGAAACAACCCAAATGTTCATCAATCAAGGAATGTATAAAGAAGATGTCTTTTTATACAGTGGAGTACTACTCAGCCATTGCTATTGTTCTTTTTTTATTATCCTCTTTAAAATAAAAAAGAAGGATAAACTGGGGACTTTTATAGGTAAATGGATGCCACTAGAGGCGGTACACGTAAGTGAAATAAACGAGATATACATGTGTAAGCACCATATTGTCTTCCTAGTGTGAGAAGCTGAAAGAGTAAAAAGATCTAAAATGTGCAGTAGATATGTATGATGGGAAGAAACTTCAAAAGGAAAGAGAAAGTGGGATGAGGGAATGAAGAAAAGGAAGGGAAAAGCAAAAAAAAAGTATATGTACATATGTATATATATAAAAGATAGTTAAGATAGTTATGCTACTAATTTCTCTTAGTTCATTGAAAACAGAGGTTTGTACTAATATTGTTTGGACAGTTAAATGCCGATATCTTGTACTCTGAGAAACTAATTTAAAGATAACTGTATGTACTGTATTAACCATTGTTCCCTCCTATTATCTTGTTTTGAAATTTTTTTTTTCTTTAAAAAAATTTACAAAAAGGAAAACATACCTTACATTTGCATGGCACTTTAGATCTTTCCAAAGTCTTGTGTGTAAATGATTTAATTTGACATTTACAGTAATCTTGAGAAGTAGGAGAGAGAGAAGTTTCTCTGTTCAAACAGCTGCCTTCCCAGCTGCCACTGCAACTGCGGAGAGGGTTCCAAATCTTGCAGGAAGATGTTGTTATACTGAGGCCCATGCAAAGAGTCATAGCTCTTACCCAGCCGAGGAAGTGCAGTCAGTTTGGGGAAATCTCTCCGTCTTCTCATTTCTGTCAGAGTTAGCAGCACAGTTTGAGAAAAATAGCACTTAAAAATATGACCAGGAATGGGATGGAAATGGGAGTTTAATTTTTAAAAAAAAATGTGTTTTGGACACAGTCTCTCACTATGTAGGTCCGGCTGTCCTTGAACTAACTATGTAGCCCATCCTGAACTTGAACTCGCAGAGATACTCCTACCTCAGCCTCCCATGTGCTGGGATTGCCGGCATGGG